CTGGTTTACGCTGAGCGATAAGCAGTGATGAATCCTGGGTTATGAAGTTTAATGACTGTACATTGAAGGGCTTGGTGTGGATGCAGGCTCTAGAGACCCCGGCAACTCCTAGCACGGTACTCAAAGTCCATCTGTAAAAGAATAATGCCCTTTACTATCAGTGAAGTAGTGATCATGTTGATACCATCTGAGCGACCGTTCCCTTTTCTGCCTGCATAGAAATGTTAACAGTCTCTAGAGCCCCAGTTCCACCTCTTGTTATTAAAATAATTCTCTGTATGCCTTGTTAATATTCATTTTGGACACATAATTTTATAAATGACAAAGACGTGAAAATAAAGATAATTTATCTTGTTATTTATTCCGAGGTTGTGTTTCTTTTTGTATGTACTGGGGGTATGAAATGTGTTGTAACAAAGTACTGAGGGCCTGAGAATCAAATGAGAAGAGAAAATGTTGTGATCCAATTTCCAAGACTGATCTTACTGCTTATCACTTAAGAACCTTCAAAAAAAGGGTTTGCCAGGATAACCAAGTTTGGAATCTTACCCATGAGAAAATAAACATTATTTTTAGTCCAATTTAGAACATGGTACACTTTACCTAGAAAGATTATCATGGCAAAAAGTATTATAAGATCTGTTTCACTCAGGCTTTCAAACAAAAATATATGCCATATAAATGTTGACAGTGGTTTAATGGATTGACCATTGGGTTTTTCAATGTAAAATACATTTAGAGGTTTCCGAGTCTATCAAAATGTAGGTTTTTTGTTTCTCCTTAATTTTAAAGCAATGTTGGAAACAAAAGGACTAGTTTTGGGATACAGCAAATACATGCTCCAGATATGTTTTTTTTTACAACTATCTATTCAAATATTTAGCACAATCCAAGTGATTTTAACAGGTGTTAGATCAGGAAACAAGCTGAAGTTAAAGAAAAAGTTAGACAAAGTATCTGTATGCCGTCCTAATAATTTGGTTTTCATCTGCAACTGAAACGCTAGATGCCACTAAATCCCACAGTCCCTTTCAGTCTGTTTACTACTCTTTATCAAGCCTTTCTTTCTACATCAGACCATCATAAAAGAACACGTTAAAATACACAGAGCACCATGAATGTAAAACCACATAACTTTAGGTTTGCAAATCCAAAGTAGTCAGACATTAGAAACTCATGCATAAATAACGAAAAAAGCAGCTATATTTAAAAGAAACACACTCTATAATCAAGTTCCAGAGGTTTAACACACAGTTAAAATAGCTTCAGGAACATACTTGTTTTTTAAAGCCACATATTTGTTATTCTATCTAGACATTGCACAGTGTGATTCTTTTGATGTTGAGCCCAATGCAAACACTGTAGTATCATGTCATTAGAGCACTAAGCGTGTTGAACCAGCAGGGGGCGGTGTTACACCACCTAGCCTGTAAATATAAAGCGGTGAGTCATGGCAGGATGTTTTATTGGTCCCCATCATTCCAAGGGAAAAAAGGACGTAGTTTGTTAGTTTAGTGAAGCCCAACCCAACAAGTCACTGCTGTTTTTGTCTGAAGGGGAAGCACCACAGGTAAGGATGGTAAAACAATTTAACTAAAATATATCATCATGGAACTTCCCAAGGTAATATACTTAAAAATAAATAGTTGTATGTAGCCTACTACGCATATTCTGAAATGCTATCTTTAAATGTGTTTATAATGCATTATCTAAATCAATATGCCAATTTGCATTTATTTAAACAATGAGATCTGGATGAAACTAGTTTCAAAACTCGTGTTGTATTATGGTGTAATTTAGAGTCAACAGATTTAACAGTTTTTTGGCCTTTTATATCACTACTATAAATAAAAGAATCTCCAAATCCATTTCCTTTAGAATATAATCTGTAATATATGTAAGAATTAAACTGTTTAATTGTGTTAATTAATTATTATCTTAAATCAACTTTGTGGGAATTAAGGATACATTAATAATGTATCACAAACTGTTTTGGATGATTGATTGCTATTAGCATGAAAAACAATGTGCAGCCTGTAGCGTCGTGCCATAAGTATACAATGTGAACCCAGGCTGATGAGTCACACTTAAACAGAATGAAACAGAACCATCACCAGCCTTCAGATTTTGAAACACACTCACTTGCACCTACACCTGCCTGTCTCACTCTCACTACCAATTACCGCACAGCCAGAAGTACTTTGTCATGCTCCATCAGATCTCACATGTGAAGATGACACACACCCTCTCCAGGGGGAGTTCCTGGATTTAAGGTGGGATCCCAAGGGGCTGCAAGGGAAATGGAAGCAGGATCTCATTAGCCCCTTATTTCCACCCTGAGCCTCAGAGGAATACATGATGGGGAAATACAGTAGGGGATCTGTCCCAGTGAAAGACACACACACACACACACACAGTGCAGCTGAGATAACACAAAGATGAGAAGAGAACTGAAAAGGTCACACAAGGAGACAAAGGTTTTGGAGTGGAATCGGGTCTTGTCTATTTTTTCCTGTAAAAGAAGGGGCGCAAAGCTTTCTCTGATCCAATCATATCAGGACGAGGGTGATAAAAGACTTCAATGAATCAATGAGTCTTGTTTGAAAAAAAGCCTTGGAATTTGTGAAGGTGAAATAACAAGCCCCAGGAGACCCGCATATTTCTTTGTTTTCTTCTGCAATAGTCTGCTTTTATTGATTTTTAATTGTTGACCTTTCTGAAATACGAAATGAAAAACAAAGAAAAACAAACCCTTTATTGTAAAATCAAGGTTGAATGTGACACTGCTCCCCTGGTCATATATGCAAAAGGGCACCAGATCTCCTTGAGAAGCATGACACACAGACTTTATAGATTTGTAGGTCTTTTTATTTATTTGTTGTGGTTGTTATGCTTTTTTTGTTGTGGTTTTGTGTCTCTTGGCACTCTGTATGTGTCTCTTTGCAGTTGTTTTGTGTCTCCTTGCAGTGGTTCCCCCCCTTTGTAACCGTTTTATGTCTCTTTGTTTTAAGTCTCTTATGATCTAAAGGTGTCTCTGTCAAACCAGCATAAAGGTCAAACACAAGCGTCAGAGCTTTGATGATGATCTGGTCATGCTCTACAGACATCACGATGCAGCCACATTTGCCATGCACATACAAGGCTGTGTATCGGCTGAGTTTCACGATGACTCATCTGAGAACAAGCAGAGGCAGCACGCTGTGCAGCGGGCTCTGTGGGGACACACATCTGTAAAGTACCCAGAGACAGAATTGGCTGGAAAATACTTTAAATTTGGAGAGTGATGTGAGGGCGGACATGCTGCCCCTTATCCCAGGGTGTGAGCCAGTGCTGTGCTGTGAGGCTAAAGCTGTTGCCAATAAACGAAATGAACTTCCCCCTCGGCCGACACAGGGGAGGGAGAGGACCCACTTCCCCACCACTGCATGTTTGGTCCATTTTTAAGTCCAATAAACGGTGCAGTGTGTACAGTGACTGGAGGTTAAAAACATTTCAGAGGGAATTATTGTACTTTTTTAACTGCACAGCACAACATTATGCTTTTATCTAGATTCAACTACCCACCACCACCAGAAGTTGGAGGTGAGACGCTTAGTCAATTATAAAATAATCGTTTACTTTTCTACATCATTTTCAGATATAACAATTGTTCCTTCTCAAATATTCGAATTGTAATTATTTGTAATATTCTTTTCATTTGTGCTTATTTGTTTTTTTCTAACCATCCAAAACAAATCAGATTCAGAATCAGAATTCCTTTATTCATCCCACAGAGGAAAATATTAGGATGAAAAACAAAAATGACACTATTTTAAACAGTGTCATTGGGAGTTTTGAGTACTTGCGATGAACGTTTTTCGTTTTTCGTTTTACAAATGAAACAAACTTAGCCTACTAAAAATGACTTCCTCGATCAATATATTATAAAAGCTATACTATTGCATTTTGTTTTGCGACGTGTTTTTAGATTGAAAATAAATGCAAGATATGTAATGTAATAATTGAAAAAATCAAATTGGCTCCACAACATCCAAATAAACAGTAAAATAATATGTTCTCTTGGATGTGTTTACTGTAGATATTCACATACTAATACATAATCTTGTAAGAGATACATGATGGGCGGATGGGTTCCATAGGTTATTAAAAATGGTGCTGCTACAAGAAAATACTATACATTTTCCCTGTTACATCCACTCAATTAACACTATTCAGAAGGGGGATGGTGGTTGGGGGGATTTGAGGAGGATAATGGTTTCTGTGGGATTATGAACATGATTGAACTCGGAGAGAGTGAATCACGTTGAAGCAGGCCTGTAAGGATTGTCAGCATGGGTTAGTCTACTGCTGTACGAACAGTCCATCGACTTTCTTGGATAAAAGTGTGGGTGTTTTAATCACATGTGATGTCACCATATTTAAGGGCTGGGGTTTTCATAATTAAAAAAAAAAAAAGGAAGGAAAACCTCCCTACAGGAAATGAAGGATGTAACTGGTATTGTCACTGTATGATGACCACAGTTGGCGCTTGTAGTGCCTGCAACATGTTCTGTGTATAGGCTGCATTGGACTCAGTAATTATGATGTTACTATCTGCAGTCCCAATGACCACTCTGCGTATCTCCATTAATTACTCAGGCGTTCATTCAACATTTTCTCAATCGGAAATATGAAAAAATGGCCAGCAGAGGCGCTAGCTGCACTTCTGCTGCATAAATCCACTGTTTGTTCAATATAATCTCCAGTGGATGGGCAATGAAAACAACTCATAGTAGGCACCTTTTATAATAAAACGGGTAATCCAATTCCCTATGCATAATGCTGTTTTTAATCAATAAAGAAATATGGTAGTGTAAAATAGTGTGGTGGATGCACGGCTTTGGTCATGCTGCGGGAACCTAACGTTCTTATTATACATCCATGGCGGGAACAGGGCGGATTTTAGGACCCGTGGATTCGTTTGTGGTGGAATAATAAAAGTTGGGTTTATCCGACGCGCCTCAAAGAAGTGTGTGTGAGTGTGTCCTTCTGCTGTGTGCACATTTCAGAGGTGGTGGTGCAATAATAGCCAGTTGCGGGCGGAGTGTGTGCATGCCGCCGCTGGTTGTCTTCACTCCGGCTTCACTGTAGACAACACAGGCGGGTCTGTGTGTCCGTGCTTTCCGGAAGATAGGGTGTGACACATGGGACACATCTTGGGTCAGCAGCTGATCCTGCTTCTCGTTTGCACAGAAAGCAGCATGGAAGCCTCTCTGCGGGTGTGTGTGTATAATCCGCTGTGAGAGGAGAGGATCAAACAGGCGGGACATCCCTGTCTCCGGATCCCTTTCACTGGAACGCGCTCACACACGCCCGACCTTTCGTTTGGGTGAGTGCAACTTTTACCATCTCATCTGAAATGCTCATTTTTTTAGTCATGGCCGACTGTGTAAATAAGGGGAAGTGAAGCTGCTAGTGCACTGCAGATATATCTCCATGCACCTGTTTCCTTGCTGTGTGTGTGGTTTTTGTTTGGAATCAATCACTCACCGGAGGGCACACAAGGATATTGACTACTCTGCAGTTGCACTAGATATGAATCACTTTACGCGCAGCCTCGCACTATGCACCGTGAAATTGGAAGCTGCACTGTGCCATTGATCTGTGCATGCACCTGTCGTAAAATGCTCAGACTCCTAATCCACACATATTATAGGATACTATCTGCGTTTAAGGTCCGGGGTCCCACTAAGGACCTCTCAATGTGATCCAAATGGTCTCCAATATTGAGTTGTAGGTATGAGTCCAGTGACAGATAGGGATGTGTGCTCTAACCACAGGTTTCAGAACACTAATGGTAATGGAAGACTGTGTGTGTATCTGAGGTGCCTCATATGAAAACAAATATTGAAATTGACCATTAATTAAGTAGACAACAGGCAGGGAATCAATCAACAAAAACACTACGGTTGATTGATATGTCATCAAGTTATGTATAACGCAGTGGCGAGCCGTGACTTTTATACCTAGGCCCTCACGGCTCGTCTACACTACAGGCATCAACAAATCTTGAAGCTGGGCGTGTCTGAAGCTTGGCGATTTTTTGCGACCAACAACCAATCACATGAATCTCCCGCCCTCGACATACAAAGCAATAGCAATGTTAAAACGAAGTAAACTGGATATAAAATCCCCAAACAGGCGAAAACCTACCAGTTTCACCCACTGTCTCTGCCACCTCCCTCCATGCCTGGTTCCTCCGGTTTGTATCCCGGTAAATAGTTCTAGTCGGAAAGAACCGGGTGATTTGCTACCGTAATTTCTCGTTTGGAATATGAGGAAATGAACTGCTGTCTGGCTCTCCCAGTTTGCACGCGGTTTGATTGGCTAGCGCTTGTACTGGCGGGAATTGCAAAAACGGGATTTGATTGGCTGACGCCAGCTTCGAGCAAGCATCGAGCCTCAAAAGTTGAACATTGTTCAACTTTTGACGCCGATAGACGCTCGCCATGCTTTCAACGCCTTGCCATGCTACCCACAATGCAGTTCGGCGAAGTTTGAAAATATCCTTCGTCACCCCATTCAAATGAATGGGCGAAGCGTTGAAAGCATTTTTTGACGCCTGTAGTGTAGACGGGCCGTGACCCCCCCCCCTTCCCTCGAAAAAAAAGAAGAGATATTACGTCACAACGTAGACTTCAGCGGAATATCAAAACAGTGGTCCGAGGTGCAAAACGCATCAATGACAGCGACCCTCTACCACACAAAACAACACCATTTATATAAACACCTATCATGACAGGACAGCCAAGTAGCGATGACAAATGAATTAAGTCGGCACGGCGGCCCGCATTGAAAATGATTTATTAGGCCTACCTTTGATGATCAAATCACTGAAACACAAAGTCCATCCTTCTGTCCTTTTGGATGAAGCAATTGATGGCGGGTCATGCAGCTGATCCTTTGCCACTCCAGTTTATCATTGTAACTCAATCTTGAAAATGACTCGGTTAATAATTTCGCAACGATGTCCTCACTATCACTGACATGAGCCATCATGAACGAACTTATGCTAATCATAAATCTATCGATCATAAATCTATCGATTAGATTTATGATTCAAAAATAGTAAAAGTAGGGTAGACATGTGGATGTTATCCGGCTGAACACAACGTGCATTTATCTAACAGGTTCGTTTTCCACAGACCTTATTTCGAGCTATTTTCCAAAATCCTATGGAGAAATCCCATTGCTTTCTGTCGAGGGAATTCGAGCGCAGCTTACTTCCGGGTTTTAGGACGCGTCACTGCACCACTTGCATAGACCTCACAGCGGGCGGAACTTGTCATAAAGTCCGTGAAAATAAAGCCCGCCCATTTAGAGGGAAGATATGATTGGTCAATTGTACTGTCATTTGACATTACTCTCGTTGAGTTACTATAGCTGGCCCTCTGTGAATGTAGAGAGGGACCAACAAGCCCTCCCGTCTTCACATAACTCGCAGAGACGGCATTTAACCCTTCACATTCCAACAGAAACTGAACAGGCAGATTCGAAGGATTTATTTCTTTGGAAATATTATTTGAAATACAATTAAATCAAGTTATTTTGGTAAAATTAATGAAAAATGTAACAACAAAAAAATATTAAAAAAAAAGTTTAAAAAAATGTTTTAGTTTTTTTTTAATGTTTTCAAATATTATTTTTTAGAATATCTTAGGCCCTCACAGAGGGCCTAGAGGGCCCTGACGGCTCGCCACTGGTATAACGAAAACATTGCAAACATTTCTGGTTCCAGCTTTCTCAAATTCGAAAAGTTTTTTTCACTTTTCTTCTTTATTATTTCCGATTTTATATTGATTCTCTGTTGGCTTTTGGACAGTACAGTCAACACCACTACCTCTTAAAAGAAGTACACTTAAGCCGTCTTTAAAATAAATCACCATTTGTCAATATTTTCTAACTTTTTGTTGAAAAAATTGTTAAACCATTAGATTTGTAATTGATACGAATAGGTTTTTTTTCAGCTCTAATGAACATGGGTAAAGGGTAAAAGGTGTACAATCATTCCTTTTGATAAGACCTATGTTATTAAATGATGTGACCTCATTGAAAGAGATTTACCAGTACATTGAAATGGATATGGCTCATTGATGCAAAGTAAAAAAATAATATTGAGATACACCTTTTTTTTTAAACTATCACGTCTCTACCATTTCTTTCCAAGCATACCTCCTTTCTAAACATTCACACAGTGCTTGAAGATGACAAATGTGGCACTTTATAGTGAATAATTGTCTTAATATAAAAAAAGAATACAGTAGATAGTGTTTAATTTAGATGTCCGGAATAGCCCGGTAAAACAATTATCAGATCGAATTGTGGTTGCTTTAAGTGGGTAGATAACATTGAACTGATTTGTTTGATGTGTTAATGGGAATATATTATAGTCTGATATTAATTGCAGGCTCCTAAATCCAATAGAAATCCATTTTGGCGGACTTTGTGAGAAATAAAGAATCAATATAGTATCATATTGTTTTGGAACTTGTGCTTTACTGCACTAATCATTCAGTTACTCTGGTTATTTTCTGTTGAATGCAAAAAAAAACACAACAAAAACGTGGTTTTAGTTATTTCAAATGACTGGGTGTCTAATTTTAAACGAGCTATGACTTCATGTCTGCATTAAGTGGTGCTCACTCTCCTCTGTTCACGAATCGTTTAATCCCTCATTCATGAGACGTGGGGCTGAATAGTTTGCTTTGAATTTACTTGAAGGATGACTTCAAAACGAGTTGACTCTCTCAGCAGAGATGCAACTTGAAAAACAGCGACTACATGAATTACATGCAAGAAATTATTGTAGCGTCTCACCATTTGTTCTGGAGCCCTGACAAATGCAAAGTGTCTGCCCGCAACAAAGAGAAAACCAGTTTCACTTTTGGTGTGCTTACTTGTACAGTATGATGAATTTCACAGGCTGATATTAAGCACCAGGTTTGCTGAAGTGGCTGCATGAATTGTTGCTCTGGTGCATTCATGATATGTTTTGTATGCAACTTTTTGATCATTATATGCCAGGTTAAAGGGGCTGTGACCCATTACTGGTTAGGCTTGTATCAGGACTGAGAGTGAAATAAAATGCTTTTCAATTCTTAGAGGATCATCTTGTACCTGTGTAATTGCTGAATCTTGCTGCAAAATTGTGCTTTGTCCAGGTCTTTAAATAAAAAATAGATTCTGTTCCCAGCATTGTGCCAATTGCTGTTCTTTTGAGTATTGATTTTCCTTTGAGGAAAGGAGGCGTATTCTTGTGGAAAAGAACAAGGTCTCTATTGTTGTAGTGTTTCGGGTCATTTCGACTTGCATTTTTTCTAGGGTTTGCTTGGTGTAAATTAGCAACTCACTCCAGTATCACTTCTGCCTATTCTCTGTTTCTGAATGTGCTGATGGCTGTAACACTCCCTCATGTGGGCTTTCGTAATCATGCAGAGCTGCGACCCAGCTACTGAAAAGAGGACATGTCAAACCGATCCCAGCTCCTTCAGCCCCTCTGGGAAATCACTTAGTAAGGCGGAGGGAAAGGAAATCATCAAGCATTGTGTGCGTGCAGGTTTATATATTGTTATTGCAAGTAATTTCTCAATAAATGTCATGAGCAGTTTACACAGGACTGGACACTATTCACCCATAATATGTCGGGCAGACCTAAACTAAGAATCAGAGAATAAACAGGGATTGATTGTGACTGGTCTGTTCTGGTTGGTGAACACTGCTACACTTCTGCTTCTTTTGGAAGGTTTTCATTTTTCAATCGTAATACCAATTGATTGTGATCACTCAATCACTGCAGAGCGACATGCATTCTGCAGGAAGTGAAAAACCCAGGGTCCATTATATATGTTCAATGTGTAATTGCTTGATGTATCCCCAAAGTGATTATCATCACTCTGCTGCACCTCTGGGTGCTTTGTCTGAGTGTGAAGATACTGTATATTTACGAGCACTCATGAAAATTGAAAACATTGCGTGACAGTGACCTAGAGGGGTTTGGCATTTGTAGGGTTGTTGTCTAGATGTATATCCATTATAGATATGAGTGTAGTAAAAACACAGCCTATTATTAAGCTTGAATTATGTATTTTTACCGGGAGCTGAATTAGCCACAGATGTCACCTCCTATATAAAACAAACTGACACGCTGATCAAAATTGGCAAAAACACTGAATAAAGCAGTTTGGTCATTTAAAAAAGGGTTTCCTCCTTAACGCATGCTCAGCTTCTTTCTTTAAAAGATCTAGCTTTTTTTCAGTAAATTAAAATAGATTTTTAAAGTTATAAACGACCCACATTTATAAAAGTGTCTCATTCAAATTATCTCTGGGT